ATGCTGCAGGTAAGTTAAAGAATGAAAACTGACCACTGGACTTAGCAACATCAAGGTGATTGGTGATCTTGATAAAAACAGTTTCAGTGGAATGATGGAAGCAAAAGACTAACTGGCATTTCTTAAAAAGTTAAATGTAAACCTATCATGTGATCTAGCCGTTCCACCCCTAGGCATTTACCAAGAGAAAAGGAAACATATATCCATAGAAAGACTTGAACGCAAGTATTGATAGCCCCAAACTGGACACAACCCAAATATTCAACAACAGGTAAACAGATAAACAAATTGCAATATATCCGTATGATGGAATACTACTCAAAAATAAAAGGGGCAAACGATTGATACTCACAACATGGATGAATTTTTAAATAATTATAAGTGAAAGAAGTCTGACACAAAAGAATAGATACTGTATGATTCCATTTGTATAAAATTTCTGCAAGTGCAAACTTATCTGTGGTGACAGAAAGCAGATGTGTGTTTGTCTACGGATGGTGCAGCACAAGGAAACTTGGGGATAATGGATATATTCATTACCCTGATTGTGATGATGATTTCATGGTTGCATACATGTATCAAAACTCATCAAATTGTACACTTTGTGGCCAGTTTCTTATACATTAATACCTTAATAAAGCTATAAAATAAATAAATACATTAGCATAAAAAATAAAGGGTGGAACCTCATGTGGAAGCAGAGGTCCTGGTCTTAGCTAGGTTCAGGAATTTTCCATCCTATTTTGATGTGTATTTAGAAAATATAAGCAGCACATCAAACCCATCACTCCCAGATATTATTGCTTTGGATAAGGTTAAATGAATAGTGTATACTTAAGCATCAATTTGAAGAAAGATTCGGTTGATCATCATGTGAATCGTACATCCACGTGGCAGTATAATAAAGTTATGAGGTTGGCATGAGAATTGGCTTTGTTCAACACTCTCATTTTATAAAGAAGGAAGGATTTCCTAAGGAATGCCACAAAGTTCTCTTAAATAAATGATACTAATAAACTCTTACGGAGATTACTACCTGTCCCAATTGAGTTCTTGTTTATTTATTCCCTGTGTATCCTCTCGTCAAAACTGTACACATCCTTCAAGACATCTCAAATACATCATCCATCCTCATGAAGCCTTTCCTTATTCCTCAAAACACACATGACCTCTCCTTCCTTTAGTCAGAGCCTTATTGTACCCAGCAAAGACTTGCCTGTAGTACTATCCATCTCACTAAGTTCTGACCAAGGAGATAGATGCAGAAGTATTATACATTATTGTTCGGGGGGAGTTCCCTGGTGGCCTAGTGGTTAGGATTCCAGTCTTTCACTGCCGTGGCCCGGTTTCAGTCCCTGGTTGGGGAATTGAGATCCTGCAAGGTGTGTGAGTGACTCAGCCAAAAAAAAAAAAAAGAAGTACTATATTGTTTGGAAATTTTGTAGGGCTAGTTCAGCTGGGAGGTGTGCCATTTTGCCCTTCCCCACCTTCCTCTTTCCTACTAATGTAGTTGGAATAAGATTTAATGGCTCAAGACTGGTGCTCAAGCTGCTGTCTAGACTATTACCAAAAAGGCACCCCAAGTAGAGATATAAGTCAAAAGAGTGTGCTTCTTATGCAAACAATTTAAAATAGTCCTCTAGACTAGGCTCCTTCAAATAAGAAATTTTTAACTCATCTGAACCCAGATATTATGATCCATTTTATAATAATAGGTTCTCTTTTGCAAAGTTATAAAGGATAGTTTCTTTTCTAGAATAATGCACTTTAGGTTAAAAATCATTTGGGGGTCAGAAAAAGATGGAAAGTTCCTTTGCCAATTCAAGACTAAATACAGAAATGAATATGGAGTTTTCTTGGTGTTGATCTAACATACATTAAACATATGTACATTGCATTGCATATAATATAGCCATTATTTAACATCTAAAAAATTCATATTTAGTTAGCCACTCTCAGCCTTAGTTTTCTCATCTATCAAAAAAAAAAAAAAACCCTGCTTCAGGGTGTTTGGGGGGTAAAATGAGCAGACCCATATGCCCTCCTTAGATCAGGACTGCATAACCTCACTCGACTCATTTTCCTCAGCTCCTTCCTTGCTGCACACACCCCTCCCAACCATTAGTCACACCCAGACTTCTGGTCATCCTTTAATTCCACCAGACTTTTTCAAGTCTTTGCACCTTTACACTGGTTGCTTTCTTTACGTAGAAAGCCTTTCTTTCCCTTCTCCAAAAAAACTCATCTTCCAGAATTTCAATCAAATGGTACCATAACTGTGAAACATTCTGATTCCTCTGGCTATGTTGTCCTATTGCTTCCACTCCTCTATCGTAAGAACACATTTATTCATTTTAAGAGTATTTTCTGGGCTTCCCTGGTGGCGCACTGGTTAAGAATCCTCCTGCCAATGCAGAGGACACAGGTTTGAGCCCTGGTCTTTGAAGATCCCACAGTCATGGAGCAAATAAGCCCGTGTGCCATGACTACTGAGCCTGCGCTCTAGAGCCCGCAAGCCACATCTACTGAGCCCACGTGCCACAACCACTGAAGCCCGCACACCTAGAGCCTGTGTTCTGCAACAAGAGAAGCCACTGCAGTGAGAAGCCCGTGCACCGCAACGAAGTGTAGGCCCCGCTCGCCACAACTAGAGAAAGCCTGAGAGCAGCAACGAAGATGCGATGCAGCCAAAAATAAATAAGAAAAAATTTATTTAAAAAAAAAGAGTATTTTATATTTGTCTCTCTTATTAGTCTGTGAGTTTCCTAAGGGCAAATGCCCACGCCTCAAAACACTTAGTTTGTCCAGTGGTTAGGACTCTGCGCTTTTACTGCCAGCTGGGTTTGATTCTTTGTCTGGGAACTAAGATCCCGCAAGCCGCGTGGCACGGCCAAAAAAACCCTGAAGACACGCAAACAGAAAAACACTTACTGGGGCTTCCCTGGTGGCGCAGTGGTTGGGAGTCCGCCTGCCGATGCAGGGGACGCGGGTTTGTGCCCCGGTCTGGGGGGATCCCACATGCCGCGGAGCGGCTGGGCCCGTGAGCCATGGCCGCTGGGCCTGCGCGTCCGGAGCCTGTGCTCCGCAGCGGGAGAGGCCCCAACAGTGAGAGGCCCGCGTACCGCTTAAAAACAACAACAACAACAACAAAAACAGCTCCCTAGTGCCTGACAGATTGTGAATACTGTAAAAGCTTGTGACATGGCCTGAGTGTTTTACTCATAAGTCACATTTTAGTGACTTAAATATTCATAGTACATAAGCTTACGATTTTGACAGGAATTATATTAAATAATTTCCGTATGTTTTGTTTTGAGGATGCTTTTTTTCTTACTAATCCAACCAACCAAAAACAATGTTTTTAATTTAAATCTGTGAAAGGGTTTTAAAAACAAGATTTATTGCTTACATTTACTTCTTAATAATTTCATGAGTACCTGATTCAATGATTAATAAATAAAATAGTCATTCTCCAAATGTGGCAGAAAAACTAATAGTGGTTTGCACAGTGTGCTTGAATTTGCTTGTGCCTAGATGTGGTTACAGAGTTGCCTTGTTTTTGGCTCATTCCGACCTGGCCACAGATGACCTGGACTGAAGTTGGTGTTGTGTTAAATTGCTGTTAAGCAGGGGAATACCATGGTTCATCTACAGATGCCAGACCAGCTTACCAGCTTACAACTGTTAGGCTACATTTTTCTTTCTCATGTGTTTACAATCAAGACTGCCTGAATTGAAATCCCAGCTTCCTCACCTGCTATGAACTTAAGCAGTCAACTTGTCTGAACCTGTTTCCTCATCTGCAAAGTGCGGATAATTATAGTACCTATTTCAGAGGGCTCTTCTCAGGATTAAATACAAGCGAAGGGCTTGAAACAGAGTGAGTGATCAAGCGTCTCTTTATATTAACAACACTCTATTTCATTAATTCATTCTCCACATATTTATTTTTGCACACCATGAAACTGTGGAAATGTATTCTCTTCAAATGACCAGGATCTGAATTTAAAACTCTGGCTGAACAGCACTTACAAAGGTTATAACAATAGTTGGCTTTTAAATACAAATTCATTTGCATTTTAAAACAACCAACATGACTACATTTTATTCAGTTCACACCCTTTTCCCTTGGTTACATTGGGTTGAAACAATTAAAAACAACACAAGAACAGCCATTTAAAATATACAAGAAGGGCTACCCTGGTGGCTCAGTGGTTGAGAGTCCACCTGCTGATGCAGAAGACACGGGTTCATTCCCCGGTCTGGCAAGATCTCACTAAGCCGCACAGCAGCTAGGCCTGTGAGCCATGGCCGCTGAGCCCACGTCCGGAGCTTGTGCTCCGCAATGGGAGAGGCCACAACAGTGAAAGGCCCACGTACTAAAAAAAACAATAAAATATACAAGAAAACTAATTTATGCCCCTCATTGACCTTTTTCCCCCTCTCCAAAATTGGATAGTGCTATCAACTCCCCAGGGATATTTTTAGCGTCTAACTTTAGGCTGTGAGTTTTTTGTTTTTTGTTTTTTTTGCGGTACGCAGGCCTCTCACTGTTGTGGCCTCTCCCGTTGCGGAACACAGGCTCCGGACGCGCAGGCCCAGCGGCCACGGCTCACGGGCCCAGCAGCTCCGCGGCACGTGGGATCCTCCCGGACCGGGGCATGAATCCACGTCCCCTGCATCGGCAGGCGCACTCTCAACCACTGCTCCACCAGGGAAGCCCTAGGCTGTGAGTTTTTTAATGAAAACTATTACTGTCTGTTTCATAAGAGTGTCAGGATGATGAAATAAACTAATGTGTGTGAAAAAAGTCTTTGCATTTCAGACTATTTCAGGAACGCTAGACAGTAGCAGCGGTTGATCGAGGAAAAAAGCAAAAACCTCGTAAAAACCACTATAGAGCATTTCGCCGTGAGAGTAAGTTTGACACTCTGAGGCTCCCGTAGTCCAGCTCGCTTTAAGCGCCAAGATGGCGCCGCCGGCCGAACTACCCATGTGCTGTTTCCGGTCGTACTCGGAAGTACGACTCCCAGCCGTAGCTGGGACTCTCGGCAATTGCCCCCGGTGTGGGTTTTCTTAAAACTGCTCGTCGCGGAGCCAGTCAGCAGCTAACATGTCTAGCAGAAACAATAACAAGCTGCCCAGCAACCTGCCGCAGTTACAGAATCTGATCAAGCGAGACCCGCCGGCTTACGTGGAGGAGGTAGGAATGCGGCGCGGTGAGGCTAGAAGCCGGGACGCGGCTGGTTGAGACAGTGGCTGGAGGGAGGCGTGGAGTGGAGCAGGGATCCTGACTCGCCTCGTGTTCTGCTCTTAAGTTCAGGGGTTCCTCGAGAGGAGAAAAGGGGTTAAGGGAGAGACATGCCACAGGGTTTGTTCCCCACCTTTTGAAATCTGCTGCCCGTCTGGGTTTTCTGCCTGCTCCATAGACCCTGCTGTCACAGAAACACCATTTAAAAGACCTCATGTTTGCTTTAGGGGTTATCTCCCGATCTCACTGAGGTCGAGAGACAAATGGTCCACCCCCAACCTCTTACTTCCAGACAGGTTTCTCAAGCCTTTTCTTTTCTGAAACCCCTAAATGGAATTAGTCTGTAACAGTGGATGAAACTTTTGTTTAGATTGTTTTCCACCGACGTCTGTTTCCGGGAGCCCGCGCTCTGTGCCATGGACTGTGTTGGGAAGGAGGGAGTATTCTCAAGTATAAGGGACAGACATAAGAGCTTAGTATTATCTAGTTAAAAAACAGGATTCAGTCTCATCGGAAGCTGGCATGACCTGGATGTGAGAATTTACCTCAGGAAAAGATGAAGTTGAAAATTAGATTAGGTCCAGACCGTGAGGGGCTTTGTATACTGACCTCATACAAATTGTGAACATTAAAGGTGTTTGAGCTGAGAAATGACAAAATGAAAGTGATGATTTTGCTACATTATTTTGGCAAGTGCTTTTTTCAGACACCCATTTTTCTGATCGGCATTAAACACGTATTTGCTTCAGTTACTTGTATGTGCAGATGGCTAACACAATTATTCATCTTTTGATTGTCCTTCTCATTTCCCTCCTCCCCCAGATTTTCACATAGAAATATTTATGTGAATACATTTTAACAAATAGCGGTCTCAGTGGTTTACGTCACCAGTAGAGAGAGACTTTCCAAAGATTCAAGGGAGTGGAAACAAAGACTAAGGAACAAATACAAGAAGTTAAGTGATATAGGTGAGGCTTTGAGATGTGTAAAGCACTGTAAACCATTAGCCAAAGTAATAGCTGAGAGTCTGTACAGCGCTGTATTTAAAAGCAATGGTTTCAAAACTTAACTCCATATCCCGGCCCAACTGTTGACCAATTGTGTAACTAGAGAGGGTTAACCACTTGAGCCTACGTGTATTTTAATTTGTGAGAAGGAGATAATACCTACAGAGGATTACTGTTTCATTCACTTAACAAATATTTATGCAAATTCACACATATTGTACCTCAATTTGGAGCTCACTGAACCAGTTAGGGCTGGTAATATAAAGAAATACTCATTCTTGGGACTTCCGTGGTGGTCCAGTGGTTAAGACTCCACGCTCCCAATGCTGGGGGCCTGGGTTCAATCCCTGGTCAGGGAACTAGATCCCGCAGGCCACAACGAAGCTCCTGCGTGCAGCAACTAAGACCTGGAGCAGCCAAATTTAAAAAAAAAAGAAAGAAAGAAATACTCATTCTCCTTCTGAGTGTCTCTCTCCCCCTCCCCTTCCCCCTCTCCTCCTTTCTCCCTATCACTCTATCTAACACATATACACATAGTTTAAGGCCGTGGCCTAGGCATGAGAGTAGCTGTAGGGTGTGGAACTGAGGCCTTGTGAGTTCCAGCATTAGATTGTTGGGTTGTTGTTAGGATTAAACATAATTAAATGAAATAATGTACATGGTGAGTTTGGCACATAGCAAGTGCTGAATAAATGGAAGCTATTATTATTTCTGTGTGTCTGTTGCTTTTGCCTTTTAACACATCTTATCTAGAACTCCAGGATAAAATCATAATTATTATTTAAAAGAAGGGGAATTTTGACTGGAGAGCTTTGTGTACTTGAATTATAATTTACATTTTCTGACTCACATATTTCTGCAGATATTAGTGCTCTATATACATGGACAATATAGTAGGCGGTCATTTAGATAGTAAACGGCAGTAGAGAGCCAGCTCTGAATTTTTGACTCTTGTTTCACTGTTCTTTATACTTTACTACCTAAATTTCTAATGATAAGGGAAAGGGTCTTTAGATTACCCAAAATGTGCGCAGATTTTTCAAAACTCATTTTGAAGAATTCTGATAAGGAAAACATAGTGTTTCTACATACCTTTGCCACATCTTTTTCTCAATGCCATTATCAAAGATTTCTAAGTAATTTTTAATTCTCTACTGAGAAAGTCTTATAATAGAAGGTGACCAATTTAAATTTTATTTTTCTACAGTTTCTACAGCAGTATAATCACTACAAATCCAATGTGGAGATTTTCAAATTACAACCAAATAAACCCAGCAAAGAACTGGCAGAGCTGGTGATGTTTATGGCACAGGTAAGAAGATAATTTTTGAGTAAAACGAAGACCAGTTGTTGCACACAGCTTGCAGAATATTTTTCACTTATACCCAACCTCATTCCATTCGGGAGCGGAAACTTAATTTAAAAAAGAAAATTAATTTTCCCTTTTTGCAGATTTTATTTCCTCCTTATGTTCAGTTAGAGGATTTCACTAGAGCTTTTCACAGAACCAACCGGAGCAAAAAAGCTTTCAAACTATTTGTTTTCTTCAAATTCATCATAAAAGCAGATTCTGAATCATGTCACATACTTTACTAAGACTAGAGGAAATATGAAAGGGGTCAGAGAGATTAGCATGTAGAAGAAAAATAGATGGTTTGGAGCCATCTACTTCTATGAAACATAGCCTTTTATTCTCCTTTTGCAGAACATCCTTAATATGTGCATATGAATTATAGGAGAGAAAGAAAAACTTCAGAAGAGCCTTTGCTTTGTTACAGATTGGTCACTGTTATCCAGAACATTTAAGTAACTTTCCTCAAGAGCTGAAAGATCTTCTCTCCTACAACCACACTGTCTTGGATCCAGATCTCCGAATGGTAGGACCAGTAGTTGGATTGATAAATTGTGCTGTGTTCCCGTGTGCGTATAATATGTGTTTAAAGGAGAACAGCCTGTCATCTAAACATCTTTCTAAAATGTAAATCAGTGTGTCACCCATACCTTAAAATCCTTCTGTGGCTTCTCATTTACACAGAATAAAACTCAAACTTATTAACTTAGCGTGTAAGTCCCTACATGATTTGCTTCCTTCCTGTGTTTTTGACCTCATTTCCTTTTCTGCTGCACTCCTCTCTCTGATCTCTCAGTTCTACCAGTATGCTAACCCTGCCAAGATGCTCTTTTCCCTTTTTTGATTAGGTGATTCCTTCTGGTCATTCAAATCTCAAATGCATGAAGAACCCTAATTATAACCTATAGTTTTTATAAAGCTTAGTTTAGACATTTATCTACTAATTGGCCAGTTTGAGCATTTAAACATTGTTACCTTAGTGATTGACATTGGGTCCTGTCTGGGATCCCCTTTACCAGGCCAGTGCTCCCATTTCCCCCACCCGCGGGGAATGTTGGCTGCTAATGGCCCCCAGCTGCCCTTTCTCTGGAGCATTGTCTTCAGCTAAATGGGAGCCCTAGCACCTGGGAAGTGGCCCTCCCAGCCCACAGGTGGTATCTGACTAACCCAGAGTTCAAAAGCCCAACCCTTCCCAAGGTCCAACTTTGTGTTGCAGTTTGTGCTCCAGGGCTTCTCTGTAATCAGACTAAAGCTAGTCTCCAGCCAAGGACACATCCTTGCCCAGCTTTTCTCTGCCCTATCCTGCTTCTTTTACTTCCCTTGTAGAAGAGAGCACACCCTGGACAGACCTCTGTAATAAATTGGGTTCTGCTTCTAGGGAACCCAACCAGAGGCATTTTCAAACTTTATATATCAGCTTTTCAAACACCTTTACAGCTGGTAGAACTTACACAAATATTATGATCTCAAAACCTACTAATATCCTTTACCAAAACTTATAAAAATGCTAAGTCTGTAGATTCAACTTTGTTTCTTATTCTTGCATTTTCCCAGGCTTTCTGTAATTCTTCAATTTTTATACTTCTCTAGGATTATCTTAATTTGATCAGGCCAAAAAAAAAAAAAGAATACCATCTCAGACAAGCCAAGGTTGGAGTCTCTGATTAACTCTCAGTTGGGACATGGGACCTGGCAGCACAGCCTAATAGGCTTCAAACTTGAACCATTACAGAAGACTTTTACTTAGGTCAAGACTTAGGTCAAGTCCTTGTGGGCCGTACAGATTTGAGATTTTGAGTGTGGAGACTTAGTGTCTTTCCAAGTGATTAGGTCTTCTTTAAGTTTGGTGTGCTAACAGTACCCAACCAAATTGGTCTGCAGGCATTATTAAATAACTAAATGTGTGTATATTTCTTTATAGTGTTTTATGATGATTAGTGGGTTTTTAAAAATAATTAGGACGTTGTTAGGAAGCAAGGAATTGAGTCTGTATAATTAGCATTCCTCTTTAGAGTGTACTTGTGAAAGTTGGTGGTAAGCAAGGGTGCTACAACTACCATTGGGCCGTTCTTACTACAAACTGTATTTCAAAAGAATGCCTTGTAAGGTCACAAATTCAGTTTGATTATCCCAATTTAGTGTGTTATGTTATTGTAACCCACCTTTCTTATCTCTGGATTTACTGATCACTGCGTTTTTCTATGTTGACCCTTCCTTGACCTCCTGTGTAAAGGAGCCCTCCTGCAGTCACTATGTATCAATGATATTACCCTGTTTTATTTCCTTCCTATATGAGGTATACCTGTTGATATGCTTACTTGCTTACCTGTCCCCTCTTCTGCTCCACCCCCAGTGTAAGCTCCATGAGGGCAGAGACTGACTGTTCTGTTCCCATGCCTAGAATAATGCCTAGTTAATAGAAGACATTAAGTGCTTTGGGGATATACTTGCTCCATTTTCTCATCCTAACTTTATCATTATCTTATAGTATGTTTCTTTTTCCTTCCTGAGACATTTTGCAAAGCTTTGATCTTGCTGAGAAATAAGAATCTCATCAATCCATCAAGTTTGCTAGAACTCTTCTTTGAACTTCTGCGTTGCCACGATAAGCTTCTTCGAAAGGTAAAGAGCAAAATCACTCCCCGCTCCGCTCCATATCTCATTCTTCCTGGCAGTGACATGAAACGTATAGCATTTGGAGTCTCTTCATGCTTCATACTATTGGATACAGCTAAGAATAATTTTGATAGGAAAAAAATTGACCGTTGTGTGCATGCAATATAATGGTGATAGCTAACATTTATTGTTTACTTTTTGCTAGGTTACCATTTTCAGAGCATTTTACGTATTCGTTTACTCACAAAGTGCCATGAGATAGGGGTTATTGTTGTTATAGATGAAAAGGCTGAGGCACAGAGAGAGAGAGTGATGTTCCCAGGGTCACACAGCTTCTGAGTGGTGAGGCAGGAACATGAACCCAGGGAACCTGGCTCCAGAACCCAAGCCCTTCTCCGCTATGCTGTACTGACCAGCTAAATCAGAGCATGGACTGGACACTCGTGGCTGTAACCACTCCCAACCTCTTCCCCCCAAAACTGACTTTTTTTGTTATTAATATTTCCCTGTGACTTCGTGTTTGCTTGTATAAGTAAGACCAGAAGTTGAAGATTTATGAAAGAATTTTAAGAAAGAGAAACTAAAGTTTACATACATTAACTTAAAAAAATTTTTTTTTTTTTTTTTCAAAATATTAAGAGACTGCAACCATTTGATTTTAGCAATTGTACTTCTTGGACTAACTTGTGAATAAAAGTGATCCAGGGGAGCATATTTTGGGTACCATTGATATTTGTAAAAATCCCAATATTGTCTTGCATGCAGTTAGGGGCTTGGACTTTCCTTTTTATTTTTTTAATTTATTTTTTTAAAGTTTATTTATTTTTGGTTGCATTGGGTCTTCATTGCCGTGTAGGGCTTTCTCTAGTTGCGGCGAGCGGGGGCTACTCTTTGTTGTGGTGCTTGGGCTTCTCATTGCGGTGGCTTCTCTTGTTGGGGAGCATGGGCTCTAGGCCACACGGGCTTCAGTAGTTGTGGCACACAGGCTCAGTAGTTGTGGCTCGCGGGCTCTAGAACGCAGGCTTAGTAGTTGTGGCACACGGGCTTAGTTGCTCCGTGGCATGTGTGATTTTCCCAGACCAGTGCTCGAACCTGTGTCCCCTGCATTGGCAGGCAGATTCTTAACCACTGTGCCACCAGGGAAGCCCCGACTTTCCTTTGTAAAAACAAAACAAAACAAAACAAAAAAAGCAAATGTATTGAGATGTAATTCACATACAATGCATCCATTTAAATGTACAATTCAGGGGTTTTTAGTGTAGTCACAGAGTTTTGCAACCATCACCACAGTCAGCTTTAGAACACTTATAGCACCCTCAAAAGAAACCCCATTCCCTTTAGCAGTTACTTTCCATTTTCCCATCTGTCCCAGCCTTAGGCAACCAGCAATGTACTTCTGGTCTCTATAGATTTGCCTACTTGGGATAGTTCGTGTAAATGGAATCATATAATATGTAATTGTTTTGTGACTGGCTTCTTTCACTTAGTGAAAGTGAAAATTAAGTGAAAACACTTAATGTTTTCAGAGTTCATTCATGTTGTCGCATATGTAAGTATTCATTACTTTTTGTTGCCAAATAATATTTCATTGTCTGGTTATACCACATTTTGTTTATCCACTCATCAATTAATGGACATTTGGGTTGTTTTCACTTTCTGGCTGTTAGGAATAATGCAGCTATGAATATTTGAACATTAGTTGGAAATTTATTTTCATTTCTTTTGGATATATAACTAGGAGTGGAAATGTTGGGTCCTGTAACTTCATATTTAACCTTTTGAGGGTAACTTTCACTTTGCTTTACCTGCTTCTTTTTGTTTGTTTTATTTGTTTCTGGTCTCTTTTGTGATAGAATGAAAAGTGGGCAAAATTAAATCCTCCAGTACATTTATATTTCTCTCCAAATTAGGCAAGGTTAGAAATGTTGGTTAATGTGTGTATGTTTTTGTTTCTTTTCCTCAGACTTTATATACTCATATTGTGACTGATATCAAGAATATAAATGCAAAACACAAGAACAATAAAGTGAATGTAGTAAGTACCCTTTTGTTTTCCATGTTTGCAGCATTGTATTACAGTATCGTGCAGTTTATTAAGTCTTCTTTCTCCTCTTTTTCTTCAGGTATTGCAGAATTTCATGTATACCATGTTAAGAGATAGCAATGCAACTGCAGCCAAGATATCTTTGGATGTGATGATTGAACTCTACAGAAGAAACATCTGGTAATATCTATGTACCTGTCTCTTTCGAAATAGTCTTTTATTCATTTGTAATTGCCACAGAACACATACACAAATATTTTTCTTGATTTTGAGCTCTTTAATATATCTCTGCCATAGATTAAGTTGGAAGTAAAAATATGGAGGCAATCCAAATGACTAATAACAATATTGACTACCATTTCTTGAACACTTGCACTATGCCTTACCTCATTCAACCTTCAGAACAGTGTAATGTAGCTTATTTGGGATTATTCCCGCCTTATAGGTAATGAAACCCATAGGTTCATAAGTTTAAGTTTAGTAGCTAGTAAAAGGCAGAATTGAAATTCAAACCCGATCTGTCTGACTGAAATTCGGGCTCTTTCTACTCTGCCTCTCTGAAGATTTTCAAATCAATTTACCTTATATACTTAAATTATCATGTTTCATAAACTTTGACTTGTTGGTACAGTGTCCCAACTCATGTCTTTTGCTTTTCTTATTCACTAATTTTTTTTTTAAATATAAAAGTAATATTCGTTGCAGCAGAAGATTTGGAGAAGCTAGAAAGTTTTTTTTTTAATTATTGATAGTCCCACCCCCTAGAGATAATCAGTTAATATTTTATGCTATTTCCTCCTGTCTTTTCTTTAATGTGAATTTTAAAGTATGGTTGGAATTTTGCTGTATTGTAGTTTTTTATTGGTTTTTTATTCCGCCCCAGTTATCTTGAGTAGGTTTTATGTCATTAAAAATTCTTCAAAAAATACATCTGAATGGCTGCATAATTTTCTGACACAAGACTGGGCTAAAATTGAATTAAATGTTTGCCTGTAGTTGACTATTTAGCAACCCGTGACTTTTTGAAATATTACAAACTATGAATTTTAACATGTTAGAAATATTTATTTATTTTGTGCCATTGTCTGTGCTGTCAAATACAGTCGAATGAAAATTCACTTTAAAACACTCAACTGTCTTCCCCCAGGAATGATGCCAAAACTGTCAATGTGATCACCACAGCATGTTTCTCTAAGGTCACCAAGGTGAGCACGTGTATGGCTGTGTGAAGGCACTGTCTGTGAGTAGCCTGCTTCTCCAGCTAGAAGGTGAAGGAGATGGGTATGCAAGGAAGAGGTGGTGTGCGGACGTGCTGCTTGTACTTAGGCTGCTTCCCTGGTTTATCTGCGCTTTAGAGGAGTCACGCAAAATTATGAGTTTTTAAAATGCTTGGTATTAAACGATAGCCTTAGCGTTTATTTTGTTTTCCTCTGTAATTCTTGACTGCTCTTTTATTGGACTCAGGCACAGCTGAAAGAAATTTAAGGACTTGGTTGACTTTCTGTTAGAGGGGCTATATCACTTTTCTTGTGGGGGCATGTAGAAGTTCCTGACTTTCTACTTGAAGGATAACAACTGTGTAGAGCCGGGCTAAGACAGATGAGCCCAAATCCTACCGTTCTTTTTTTTTTTTTTCTTCAGATCCTAGTTCATATGCATGTGTAAAATATAGACAAAAGTATTTATTCTTTGTTGTAAGCTGGGATGAGTAATTGACTTTGAATTGGTCTTTAGATATTAGTTGCTGCTTTGACATTCTTCCTTGGAAAAGATGAAGAGGAGAAACAGGACAGTGACTCAGAATCTGAGGTTAGTTTAAGCATAGATACTTCTGAACTTTACAGTTTAGCAGATTTTATTATTGTTTTCAGTACAGATTGTAAAAGTTGGAAAGAAACTTGATGCTACCTTTATCCTTTATTGAGTTCTGCCATGCTGAGATTTTATTCTAGTTAGAACTTGTCACTTACATTCAGAAAGATTGGTTAAGTAACTAATAAAACTTAGATTCATTCAACCTTGTTCTTGGTGCTAAAGCTATACCTATATCTCACTATATGAACTTAGAATAAAAATTACTGCCAATATATTTTTGAGGTTGAGTGTTGACATCATGGAAGTTTAGAGTGGAGAAAGGGAGAAGGGTAGTACAGCATCTTTAAAAGGAAGAATCAGGATTTATGATGTCATGAAATTTTCTTTATTAAAAAATATTTTTTATTAATATTAAAAAGAAATTCCCTTCCCATTTTAGCATTTTGGTAATGAGTACTGGAATATGGGATAACACCTTTTGTTATTACTTTAGTAAATAATGTATGAACAATACATTCTTACTGTACAAAATTTCAGATACTATAGATAAAAGTTATCTTGATCCTTTCTTATTTCCACTTCCCAGTTCCTTCTTCATAGATAACCATTTCGTTTCCCATGCATTTCTGTGTGGATGTGTATACATATTGTCTTATGTGTGTGGTCTGTTTTTAAAACATATAAGTAATATATGTATTATTTTGCAACCTGCTTCCTTTGTGATGACATATATAGATGTACCAGTGCATTTAGATATTCTTCTACTAGTACGTATAGATCTACCTCATTCTTTTAACCTCCACATAATATTTCAGAAAATGGATGTACTATAGTTTAAGCATTTCCCTATTGATAAATATTTGTTTCCAGTTTCCTTTTTCAAATAAAAACAAAGTTGCATTCTCTCTGTATATTAATACTTCAATAAAAACTAAAAGCAAAATAAAAACAAAAGTCAGTGTTGCAGTGAAAATCTTGGTATGAGCCTGTTCCTGCAGATAGGCAAATTTGTTTTTTATTGAATTTTTAAAGTTGTGTTTATTTTTAATAGCATGCAAAGAGTATAAGTACAAAGAAGTGATTAAAAGGGTTATTCCTTGCTTCTATGCAGATTTTCCTTGTTTATAGTTTTACAAAGTAGTTTATTCTTCAGGATGAAGGACCAACAGCAAGAGACCTGCTAGTGCAGTATGCCACAGGGAAGAAAAGCTCCAAAAACAAGAAAAAGTTGGAAAAGGCTATGAAAGTCCTCAAGGTGAGACTTGTACCTGGGAAATGAGATAGGAATCTTTAGAATGCAGAATATGTGTTCTTTAGAAAAGCTTTTAAGCATTTGGAATAGAGAAAATAGCATTTTGAAGGACTTAGAAATGTGTGATGACTTTTTAAGCACTAATTTTTTAGATGAATAAATGTTTTCAGCTCTAGCAAGATCTGTGGCTTGAATAAATTAATTTGATTAAATTCATTTGTTTTGATCACGATGTCTTCTCAGAAGAGTATGCAAATGAAGTACATTTTGTTTTGTAATAATTATTTGAAAGTCATTGATTTGGTCCTTGTGTGTTTTTTAATGTTCATATTTCCAAATCTCTTTAAGTCTCACAGGTGCTGATAGCTAGAACTTTTTGGCTGCATTGGGTCTTAATTGCTGTGCACAGGCTTTCTCTAGTTGCGGCGAGCGGGCGCTACTCTTCGTTGCAGTGCGCAGGCTTCTCATTGCAGTGGCTTCTCTTGTTGTGGAGCACGGGCTCTGGGCACACAGGCTTCAGTAGTTGTGGTGTGCGGGCTCAGTAGTTGTGGCACACGGGCTTAGTTGCTCTGAGGCATGTGGGATCTTCCCAGACCAGGGATCGAACCCGTGTCCCCTGCATTGGCAGGCAGATTCTTAACCACTGCACCACCAGGGAAGTCCCCAAGGTTTAATCTTAAAAACCACCTTTAGTTCTTCTAGTTGCAAGAAAGGTTTTTGGAACAAAGATTTTTTGTTTTTTCTTTTTAATTAGTGTGATGGAGACTTCCCTGGTGGTCCAGTGGTAAAGAATCCACCTTCCAATGCAGGAGACATGGGTTCAGTTGCTGGTTGGGGAACTAAGATCCCACATGCCACGAGGCAACTAAGTCTGCATGCCACAACTGTTGAGCTCGCATGCCTCAATGAGAGAGCCGGTGTGCTGCAAACTACAGAGCCCACATGCTCTGGAGCCCATGCACCACAACTAGAGAGAGAAAACCCACGTGCCACAACTAGAGAGAAACCCGAGAAGACTGCATGCTGTAAGGAAAAGATCCCGCATGCCTAAACAAAAGATCCAGTGTACTGCAGCTAAGACCCGATGCAGCCAAAAAAAAAATAAGGAAAATAAATAAATATAAATAGTGTAATGGACTTGATAACAGCCTTTAGCACATTAGCACATTTAATCCCAAGGGCCTCTTCACTGTAATTCAGAATGTAAATGTTTTCCTCTCCCTTTCTTTCAGAAACAAAAGAAGAAAAAAAAACCGGAGGTGTTTAACTTTTCAGCTATTCACTTGATTCATGATCCCCAAGGTACTATAGTTATGACCTCCCAAGTTCCTTGTTGGCTTTATCTGCCTATTTAGATTCCTACCTTCAAGGTTACCAGGGAATATAAAATCCTTGGCACTTAATAGACAATCAGTAAATGCTTAGTTGTTACCTATTGGTTGTAGCCTAGAGAATTCTATTCCAAAGCAGTGATTCCCAATCCACAGCAAAACAAGAAAAATATAGAGGAACAGCTCTCTTCGCAATTCATGTCTTTAATAACATAGTACTTGTACTATAAGACATTGTGCTTGACCAAATGAAAAACTGACAATCTTTTATTAGACCCTTTTTTTTCAACTGGTATGTGGAAACCAAAAGTTTGGGAAACCCTGTTCAGAACACTAGTTCTCAAACTAGAGTGCACATTGGAATCACTTGGGGAATTTATAAAACTATACTGGTACTTGGGTCCTGTTATTCCCAGAGACCAATTAGGTGATATGGGGTATGGCTGGGCAGTGGGGCTTTTAAACGCTCTCTGTATTTTAGTTTTAGTTTGCTGACGCTTCCTCTAGGTCAGTGTTTCTCGGACTTTAAGGCACATACTGATCACCTTGGGATCCTGTTAAAGTACAGATTCTGTCTGATTCAGTAGGTCTGGGGGTGGGGCCTGCAGTTCAGTATTTCTAACAAGCTATTAGGTGGACAGCTGCTGGTGGTCTGCCGACCACACTTTGAGAAGCAGGGCCCCAGAGAGCTATAAGTGGAGCATCTGTCAACAGTAACTCAAGATGTTGATGCTAAAAATCTTGGAAATCCTTAAGACTTAACTTTGGGCACCACTGAAGGTATATTTGCCCGTGTGTGAGTCTTTTCACCTTCGGTCATGCCGCTGTGTTTACCGTCCTGGTTCTGCAGAGTGATTTCAGGCACAGCCATACCAGAGCCAGTGACCAAACTACTGCTTTTCTCTACACCTGCTAGATTATGTTGTATAGACCATGGGCCCACAGTATACTTCTCTGATATTCTCCTTTCCAGATTTTGCAGAAAAACTACTGAAGCAGCTAGAGAGCTCTAAGGAGAGGTTTGAAGTGAAGATGATGCTCATGAACCTCATCTCCAGATTGGTGGGAATTCACGAGGTTTGAATTACATTATGTTTCTCTTGATGGATATTAGAAGTGGAATTTTTCTTGGTAAAAGGACGGTAAGGTAGAGCAGTGGCTTAATTTTACCCTCCCAAACCATTTAAGCCCATACAGTTTACAAAGGGATAAAATCTTTCACTCTGAAAATAGCTGCTTTTGTCACTTTGTTTTCTTGTCACTTAGTTTGGATGTTGAATTGTACATGTATTCAGTTTATGGACAGACTATTTTCTTTTTTTCTACTTTTTATTTTATTGTATCTATGTTTCACTTATACATTTTCCTGAGCCAACAGAGCCCACATATTTTTATCAACTGTTATTACATTTCACAGTTTACCCCTTCATAGCTTTCCTGACTTCCAGCCCACTCTAGCAGGAGGATCATGTTTGCAAAGCTGAATTCTCTGGTCATTCACTTTATATTAAATTAGACTGCAAGAGCTCCTTGGTGGTATAATGTATATATATTGTGTATACATATGGAAACCTCACACATACTCAGACTAACTGCCATTGTAGAAAAGGAGGGATTCCCAGAAATTCAGCCCATGAAGAAATGACCATTGAGGTTGTTGTCTATAGTTTTGCTCTTATAACTAGTGCTGTTCTGATCATCACTGAATGTGTTGCTTTCTTCAAAAAAAAAAACAAGAAGTAAAACAGGCTCCTTCATTGAAAATCAAACAGTATAGACCTATACCAAGTTAAAAATGAACAAATGTACTTATTCCATTTCTTTAAGAAAAAGTTAACATTTTGGTGAATAAATTGCTTTTTCTACATGGGCTGCAGTTCTAAAGCAGGATTACCAGGTCAATTCTTGTTACATTTGTGCAACAATTTCAAGTCACAACTGAATCTGAGCTCAGTGGAAAAGCAGAAGTGATTCTTAATTCAAGCATGGTTTGATGGAAATGATACTGGAGTTTCACAGCTGGCTACAGTTGAACACTCATCTCTGTATTGAACCCAAGTCTTCCCTTTTACTTCTCTGGTCCTGGTTTTGCTCTGTGGCTAAAATAGAAAAAAATTTATTCTCACATGATGAACTTTGAAAAAGACTAGGCCATCTCCAGAGTTTCTCTTCTTGAAGTTAAAGATTACAATTGCTTTAATAACTGGATCCTTGTCTCCTTTATCTAGGTAGACTCCAGAGTGTTAGTGGTTTCTGTCTAAAATATGGAGCTCAGAGTAATTCCTCCAGTGTGGTTGGACTGGTATCCCATAACAAAACTAGACTGTGGGTTTTTTGGTGATCAGATTACACTAGGCACTATTCAGATTTGAGTTACTATTATCTTTGAAGACTAAAAAATTGGTTCTGCAATTTTTTTGAAAGAAAGTTGCTTTTTGACTGCCTTTTCACCCCCTGGTTTGTTCTGAGTACACTTCCTTCTTCCTTGACATAACAGGATAGCAACAAGGCCTTCCTTTCTTTGGTTAATACAGCACATTGAATCATCCTGTAGCATGAATGCTTGTTGAGAAAAAAAGAAAGTAAAAAAATGATTCCCAGTTAGTTGAGCTTGGTGATATAATTGCATCATGGAGAAATGAAACTCCACAGCTCAGCTAGATATATATTAAAGTCAGTGCATTCTTCTTTCCACAGCTTTTTCTCTTCAACTTCTACCCCTTTGTGCAGAGGTTTCTGCAGCCCCACCAAAGAGGTAAGGCTTCCACTTGCCGTGTTCCTTTGGTGGCCTTGGGGTTAACCATCCAGAGTCTTTTGTTCTGGAATTAATACTAAAGACAAGAGTTAGGAGTGAAGGGTGTTCTGCTTCAGAGACAAGGAGAGAAACCTGTATGTTTTCTTTCCAGATTCTGCCATGAGGTAATTGTTCTCCTTATCAACTTTAAGAAACAATTATTTGAGGGGGGGAAAAACACCAAAACAAAGTGTTGGTTTCTCAAAGCAAGTCTTTTTGTAATACTATAAATACTCATGTGAAAGATTCTAAAAAAGAATTTTGACTATTTATTGTAACTTCATTATAGATACCAGGGTTTAACTTACTGCTTTCATTGCCCTCATTTATATTCTTAATTAAAAGCAACATGAAAGCAGGAAGGAAGAGATGGTTGTTTTTGCCTTTGAACTTGAACCAAGATAGGAAAGAAATGAACATTTATTGAACATTCAACATGAGCCAAGCACTGTGCTAAGTACTTTACATACAGTCATCTCATTTAATCCTCACTTCAATCCTGAGAGGTGTAGAAAGAAAGAAAAAAAGACGAAGATCACTCAGCAAACAGTGGCTGATTAGGCTTCACCTCACTTCTTTGTTTTGCCAGAGGCCTTGTTCTTTATCCATACTGCCCCTTTAAAGGGAGTGTGTGTATATATGTGTTTGTACTTATTCATTGATTGAGTGATTTCTAGTCTGAGCACTGCATTAGACACCAGTGAACACAAAGTAACATCCGCACCTTCATAGAGCTTATATTCTAGAGGAAGATCCACAGAGTGCTGTGTGTAATATGTCCAGGTGACGGGAAGTATTTTGAGGAAAAAGGAAGCAGGTGAGGACAGTAGGGAGTGCTGGGGTGGGTTCTGTCTAGATTATGTGGTCAGGAAATCACTTTGATAAGGCAGCAGTTAAGCAGGGCCAGCAGGAAGCGAGGCAGTGACCTATGCAGATGTCGGGGGTTGGGTGTTGGGGCAGAGGAAGCAGCAGTAGCATTACGGCCAGCGTGTGCTGGCCATGTTTGCCGTGGTCCTGAGGGCAGGGCAGTAAACTGACTGTGGCCTTTCCCATCTCTGACCTTTTTAGAAGTAACGAAGATCCTTCTGTTTGCTGCACAGGCATCTCATCACTTAGTACCCCCAGAGGTGAGAACTCTTAAACTTCACTTCTGTCAGGATCTAGTGCATACGTAGCCCTGCCACTAAGTATATCATGGTGGCTTTTCCCACAGGGATTACCGTCCTCCCTGCCTTTTTGAAACTGAGTAGAAGACACACTAGCTCTTAAGGAGATATCCATAGAAGTTTACTCATAGAAGTAAAAACATTTTACTGTAGAAAGTAAAGTTTATTTTGGACAAGTTGTTGAGAATTCTGGTTTTGTTTAATTGCCAAATTTTATGCTGGGGAGGGCAAGAATATCAGTGAATTTATAGTGATTATTATTCAAAACTGATCATTTCTTTCTTTGATTCAAATAGTGTTGGAGGATCGTGGGTCAAAGCAATTTTTAATCCATGTTGAGAACTATTATTAAAGGCGAGCCACATTTAATCTGGGGATAGCTAAGAAGAAGGCTGAAACCCAGAGTGGAATGTTTTTTTCAGTCTTCCTCAGTCTTGATCCTTCCAACTCCCAAACCGAAGGCGGAGGGCTGTTTTTCCACTGTAATAGTTTATGGTCCCTTCGTCGTCAAGCGTTTGAGTAGGTGTAGACGTTTTACCAGCACTCATATCCTTTCTCTCCCTCCCGTTCAGATCATGCAGTCATTGCTCATGACTGTGGCCAACAATTTTGTAACCGACAAGAACTCTGGAGAGGTCATGACAGTAGGGTATGTAGAATGTGGCTGTAGGCAGTGGGTATGGTCGTAACGCACTGGGTTTGCTTTCCATTACCAGGATGTAAAATTTCATCTATTATGTGCTCTCTGCAAAAACAGTTTAAAGTACACTTCAGTCTTCTCAGCAGGCTTGGTATTTTTAATTTATTGGTCAGAATTTTGAGCCAGAGAAAAGATATTTGCCCTTCTAATCAACATTTTGTTTTTTAACTAGCTTTCCCTCTTTCAAATGAATGCTTGTGTGGCAATCTAAATGTTTTTCTTCTGTCTTCTACCCTGAATTCCTATCTTCCCTGGAACAAATGATTCGTTATGGGATCATTTTTTAATCCCAAGGCGGTTCAGTGGCCCTTTTGATTAATTCAAAAGCACTTAATGAGTGTGACACTAATTTAAGGACGACTCATCTGTCCTGATACCTAAGCAGTATGCTGAACAGCTGCTTTGTATCTCCCTTGGAAAATATTGCTGGGATAACAGCCCTAAAGACCTTTAACTTTTCCTTATTTGACCTAGTACTGTCTCCCCTAGAGTTGGCGAATAGATGCTGCTCATATACAGGCACACTTCCTTTTATTGCCCTTTGCTATATTGCTCTTCACAGATACTGCGTTTTTTTTACAAATTGAAGGTTTGTGGCAACTTTGGGTGGAGCAAGTCTATCGGTGACATTTTTGCAGCAGCATTGGCTCACTTCATGCCTCTGTGTAACATTTTGGTAATTCTCACAATATTTCAAACTCTCCACCAGCAAAAAGATTATGCCTCACTGAAGGCTCAGATGAAGGTTACATTTTTAGCAATGAAGTATTTTTTAATTAAGTTACGTACTTTTTAAGACATAATGCTATTGTACACTTAATAGACTACAGTATAGTTAAACATAACTTTTGTATGTACTAGGAAACCAAAAGATATGTGTGACTCACTTTATTGCAGTGGTCTGAAACCAAACCTGCAATATCTCTGAGGTACGCCTGTATTTTACAGAGATGACACTGTTTCTTATTCTTCTAGTAGAGGAAATGGCAGTAAACTGTCTGGAATGAAAGCCCTCTGAGGCTCCCCACCCTCACACTCTACCATGCTGCAGTTTTAAAGACCTAAGACCTATAAAACCCAACTTACATTCCTTTTGATTTAGTCTTTTTAGAAAATATTCTTAGGTTGAACCACATGAAACTGCTGGGGGGTGTTTTGTTTGTTTTAATTTATTTTTTTCCCTTTTTTAGAATCAATGCTATAAAAGAGATAACAGCTCGATGTCCTCTAGCCATGACTGAAGAACTTCTCCAAGACCTGGCTCAGTATAAAACACACAAAGATAAGAGTAAGTGGTGTGTTATTCTCAGTAGATCGAAGAGTACAGAGTAGTTCGTTTTTACCTCAATAGACTCTTTGCTCTGAAGTTTCTAATTAAAGGTATTATTTTCCAGATGTGATGATGTCTGCTAGAACTTTGATTCAGCTCTTCCGAACACTGAATCCTCAGATGTTACAAAAGAAATTCCGGGTAGGTGAAGCATACATATGTTGATCAAGGATTTGGTCTCAGAAAGTGAGGATAAGTTCCTACAATTTGAGTTTGAGTATTTCTGATGCTTCCATTAGGAGTATTGGTGATACATGTAGTTTTATTCTTTAAGCTCAGAATAAAATTGATTGAATACTTCTGCTTAACTGTTTTATAGTTGGTATATGCTGTTTGAGGTTGAATGACTCTTATAGACCTGTTAGACTGTTTGAAGTCAGTAACTGATGTCAGCATTGAACAGGCTATTCCCTAACCAGATACTACCTCTTTCAAGTTGGGACAGAGAAAGATGCATGTATGTAACAGAAGGAGAGATCTCAAGACTTAATTGAAGTTTCCTGAGGTGGATCAGAAGAAAGCAAGAAGGGGCTTCCCTGGTGGCGCAGTGGTTGAGAGTCCGCCTGCCGATGCAGGGGACACGGGTCCGTGCCCTGGTCCGGGAAGATCCCACATGCCACGGAGCGGCTGGGCCCATGAGCCATGGCCCCTGAGTCTGCGTGTCCGGACCCTGTGCTCTGCAATGGGAGAGGCCACAACAGTGAGAGGCCCGCATATCGCAAAAAAAAAAAAAAAAAAAAATAGAAGAAGAAAGCAAGAAAACAGTGGGCAAAGTTCTGTCTGGGGGATTTACTTTGACCCAAGACGTTGGTGGACTGTTTTTGTCATTCGATTGCTTCCATTTTTTGTGATTCTCCCTCTCAATTCATAATCCTGGAGAATCCTTTTCATGAATAATGTTTTGCAGTTTAAGCACCTCATTAAAAACTACTTCCTTTCCTTTAGGGTAAGCCTACAGAGGCCTCCATAGAAGCAAGAGTGCAAGAATATGGAGAACTAGATGCTAAAGATTACATTCCAGGAGCAGAAGTTCTGGAAGTTGAAAAAGAAGAAAAAAATGCTGAAGATGATGAAGGTTCATTTTTGTTTCACCATTATTCAGGACAAAATCACTCCTACTATATCTGTATTGATCTTGAAATCTTTATATTGTTTGGACATTCATCCAGCAGATGCTTCCTGGTAATGACTATGTGCCACGCCCTGTTACGGGCACTGAAGGTCAAATGGGCATGGTCCTGCTCTGAGAGAATTTACATTCTGGTGTAGGAAATGCCTTTTCATGTCCTTCAGATTGGCTGCCCCTTATCAAGGGCATGCTGTTTGACACTTGGGAAAGATAATGGGTTTCTTTTGTTGCCTAGAAAAAATAATGAAGATTAGTCTATAGCAATCCTCCTGTTGAAGGAGAATGCTTGTTGAACTGGTCAAAGAATGCTTGAGGAACTCCATTCTCATTTCCGGGGTTAGCATTTACTGCATTGGTTGCTAGGGTCCTTTCTTCTTCCTGTTCATCCCTTCATTATTTAAACAAAACTTTTGTAAGCATTAGCTATGAGCCAGCCACTGTCAAAGCAAAGAGGAATGATATGGTTCTTGTCCTTGAGGGTCTTTCATAAACAGCTAATAAATCATTAACAGGATTTATGATTGGAGTGGGGTATAAGGGCTGGAGAGAGGTCAGGTCCACCTCAGAGGTTCAACAAAGGCTTCAAGGAAATCGTGACCCATGAGCCGTATTGGGAATGATTAGTGAGCAATGGTAGTATAGTGGAGACTTTCCAGGCAAGCTGTGAGCAAAGTACTGAAGGGTTTAGGAAACTATTAGAATGTAGGATACAAGGTGATGCACAGAAGGCGATGAGACTAGGGATAGAGGTGGGGCCTCACGTGAATGGCTGTGTAGCCCATGCCTCAGAGCTGTCTTACAGAACATGGGCATCTGCTGAGAGACTGCAGGTATCCTTCATTTTGAAAGCTTACTGTGGCGGCTCCGTTAGGAACTCTGATACCTCTTTACTGAGGTGTCTACAAGCTTCTTATACAACCAAAAGTTTCTACCTTGGTTCTCTGAATGACTTGTTTCTAACTAATTTCTCAAACGTATAAATGTGCTTAGACAAGTTAAATAACTTGTATGTGGCCCCTGTAAATGTACAAGTACAGTTCTGATGGACATGGCTAGTTTGGTGGAAAGAATGTAGGCTCTAGAGTCATATATGATTTTCCTAATTTCAGTGTAGGCTGCATTTCTAGCAGTGTGGCCTGGGGCAGGTTACTTAACTCTGGACTCTATTCCTCTTTTGTTGAGTCACGAGGGTTAGAGAAAGATTGTAAAGTTTCGGCTCATGGTGGATAATTGATCAGTGGTTATTCTCCGTTCCTTGACTTAATTAAATTGATGTGGTTTATTTAACAGTAATACTGCTCAATTCTTGGTGAGCATCTATTTGAGGTTCATTACCTAAGTTTTCTTTTGCTTGATTTATCTCAGTGTGCCATGAACACTCAACATAAAGTGGGTGCTAATGGGGTGCTCTTTTTCACACAGATGAGTGGGAAAACACGAGTCTCAGTGACGAGGCAGTTTCTGATGGCGAATGGGTTGACGTGCACCATTCTTCCGATGAAGAACAGAAAGAAATCGTGAGTCCTAAAATGTCCTTTTCTCAGTGTTGAGGGGCTACGCCCTCACTGGAGCTAATAGCCGTTTAAGCCTGTGTTGTGTCCTTTCAAGTCTGAGAAGCTGAACAGCATGCCCTTGGAGGAGCGGAAAGCCAAAGCCGCGGCCGTCAGCACTAGCCGAGTGTTAAGTCAGGAAGACTTCCAGAAAATCCGAATGGCCCAAATGAGGAAAGAACTCGACGCTGCCCCTGGGAAAGCCCAAAAGAGGAAATACATCGAAATAGACAGTGATGAGGAGCCCAGGTAAGACAGTGTGTACGCCAGGTCTTCAGTCAGCTCACGTGATTATGAAAGTATTAGGAAAAGGAATTCCATCCTTGTTACATATTACGTTTTTTCCTTCACCCCAGGGGTGAGTTACTTTCTCTTCGGGACATTGAACGCCTTCATAAAAAGCCAAAGTCTGACAAGGAGACAAGACTAGCAACTGCAATGGTGAGTGGGGCATGTCATTGCCTAGTTGTCTAAACAGAAAGCAGATAAAGTGAAATATGCCTCAGAACTTGTATAGGCACAGAACTGCAGGGGTTTTTTGGCTGCATTGGGTCTTCGTTGCTGCATGCAGGCTTTCTCTAGTTGCGGCGAGCGGGGGCTACTCTGCGTTGAGATGCGTGGGCTTCCCATTGCGGTGGCTTCTCTTGTTGTGGAGCACGGGCTCTAGGCGCGCGGGCTTTAGCAGTTGCGGTGCGTGGGCTCAGTAGTTGTAGCTCGCGGGCTCTATTAGAGCACAGGCTCAGAAGTTGTGTGGCGCAGCACCTTAGTTGCTCGGCAGCATGTGGGATCTTCCCGGACCAGGGATTGAACCCGTGTCCCCTGCGTTGGCAGGCGGATTCTTAACCACTGCGCCACCAGGGAAGTCGCTGCAGTATTTTATTTTAATGTTTTAAATAAAAGTATAATTAACATAGAATAAAAGGCACAGATAAGAGGTGTTCAGTTAGATGAGTTTTAACAACTTGATAGCCACATATGTAACCACCGTCTAAGACAAGCTGTAGAGCACAGAAAGGCACAGTTGTATGTTCACGGTCTCAGGGAGGCTCAGTACATTTACCAGAGCTATGAAAAAAGCAGGGGAATGTTTGTCATTAAAGAAAAGCCAGAGACGGTTAGAGCTCCCTCAGGCAAGTCCTGTGGCTGTTTGCGACTGCAGCCTGCCTACCTTTCCAGCTTCATTTTCTCTACCTTGACTTGTTTCAGACGCCATTCCAAATGGGCTCCACATTACCCTCTATTCCATTTGTACTGACACTTGTTTAGATAAGTTTGAAAACCCATGTTCTTTCTCCACCGCAACTTTGCATATACTGTTCCTACCTGAAATGCTCTACTCTTCCCTCCTTCCCTCCTTTCCTCACCAGGAAGGCCTTCATCCTGCAAAAAACAGCTCACAGGGTCTCCCTCTCTCCTGGGCTCCTCTGGCCTCTAAGAAACCTTTTCTTCCACTGAGCTCCCCTTGCCCAGTTACAACACATCATGGTCATTTCTTCCCCTGGACTGAACTGAGTCTCTGGGGAGCAGTGACTGTGTGTTCCCTCCACCTTAGTGTCCTTGGCGTCCAGCGGAGCTGGCACAGAGGAGACGTGTGTGTTGATGAGATAACTCCTGCAGTGGTATTTTTGTGTGTGTGTGCTGATAGGCTGGAAAAACAGACCGAAAAGAATTTGTGAGGAGAAAAACCAAAATGAATCCATTTTCCAGTTCCACGAATAAGGAGAAGAAAAAACAGAAGAACTTCATGATGATGCGGTATAGTCATAACGTCCGGTCAAAAAATAAGCGTTCCTTCCGAGAAAAGCAGGTGAGCTCAACTTGAAGCTTGACTGGGTAGAGTGATATTGTTGTTCTAAGACTTCTCTACATTTGAGTGGAGTTGTGCCTTCTAAAACCTTGTATTATGTGTGTCTTAGGATTAATGGGGTGCATTGTTGGAGAGCATGGAGAGGTGGAAAGCGGTCAGGGCTTGTAAATCCTAGACCTGACTTTGTTGAGATTCAGCTGTGTGACCAAAGGGAGGCGATTTTCCTCCTCTGTAAATAAAGGAGTTTAAACTAGATGAGCTCTGAGGTCCATTCCTGTGCTAAAATTCTCTTGACACTGCATCTGTGAAATATATCGAAATTAACTGAATAATAATTTTTGAGTGTTTATTATATGGTACTTTTTTCCAAAAAGCAATAATTATATGTGGTAATATCTCAGTAACAGTTTCAGGAAAGCAGTACAAACTAACAGTTCTGTTGTTGGCATGATCCTTTCTCTGTGTACCCTTCTGCAAAGCCATTATGTTTACAGACCTTTGGAATTGTGTTTTATCCATTTTCAGTCTTTGATGGGTAGTCCTGTGCTGCTCTGTTGGCTTGCTTATTTCATAATTCATTGTAGTAAAACAAATTTACGTTTTTATATCCTCCTCTACTGCCAACGGACCAGAATGTATATCTAAATGTACTAGGAAGAATCTCTAGGAAGTCAGGTCAAGGGAAAAATAGTGCCACATTCTGAACCAGCGTTCCTAAATTGCAAGCCAAGGATGAGCCTGCCAGGCCTGAATGTGACAGCCAGCTCTCCAGGGCAGGGCTCCATAGGTGTGGGAACCAAGTCAGTATGACTAACTCTGTTTATTTAATCATTCTAGTTCTAAGCTCTTCAACAATGTCATGTAAGTAATAAAGTGGCAGTAATTTTGATTTGAATTTGTTGAAAGTTTAGGTGAAAGGAAAGGTGCCATTAAATAGTCTGAATTTTGCCAATTCAATTTAAATGCGTGGTTGAATTGATTAAATTCATTAGTTTATCCTTCCCCTGCCCTTTATAAGATTTTTGGGGTGAGGAAATAATGACCATCCAGTTGGCAGGCCTTGCTTCGTTTTGAGGTTTTTGTGACCTTGCTACATGTTATCTAGGGGTGTTCCCCCAGCCCCTACTTCCTCTATTTTTTAGCATGCTTTTTTTTTGGCACGATAGAGAAGCCTTGCTTTGTTCCTGTCAGTACCTCTTTCAGTATAAAATACTTCTCTCAAAGATTGAAGAATTTTGTAAGAGGAAGTTGGTTCACTGGATATGTGCTATAGTTCACGTGAACAATATGAACAGGTACTGTGATTAAACCGACTTTACAAATGAGAAAATAAGACATAGATAGCTGAATCTGAGAAATACCTTCTTAGCCACGCGAATTAGGTTAAAATGCACTGGTTGATTTTTTTTTTTTCTACCATAAGCGTCCCAGTTACTCTGCATATCTACAAAGACATACCAAGACCCAGATCTGAGCTAAAGGCAAGGAGTCAGTAACTTAAAGTCATAAAATTCAAAAAGCTTGATTAGAGCCAGGCAACTTCCACCCCAAAAAATGCTTTAAAGTTTCTAGGACTCAGAGAGTGGTGGTTGCTTGGGAATTAATGGGATCACATCCATCACACACTTAAGATGTATACGTTGACCTTGGTTATCTTCTTTTTATAATTTGGGTTTATTCTTAATAATCTTTTATTTAATATTCTGTTGTTTTCTTTTGGGAACTGTAAGACTTTATAAGGACGTTCATAGGTTTGCTGTGAACATTGGTCCTGTGGTCTTTTTCTGTAGATCATATTTACATTTTTTTTTTTTAATCTTCCAGCTGGCGTTACGAGATGCTCTCTTGAAAAAGAGAAAAAGAATGAAGTAACTTCCAAGCAAGTTTTCCATTCCAGGGAGAATGCTAAATTCTTGTTATTACTCTGAAAACTAGTACATTTAGAATGTTTACATTAAAAAGTCCAAAAGCACTATATTGTGAAAACCACAGTAAACTTGGTAGCTTCTGGTGTTCTTATTTTAGAGATGGGTAGGGGTGGGAATGTTTGAAATGTAAACAGTAATGGTGTTGTAAAATCATTTTCATTTAGTGCTCATGCAAAAAATATATATAGAGAGAGAGAGGAGAGAGAGAGAGAGAGAGAGTGCCTATTAATTGTCACTGAAGATATAAAATTGAATGAGCCACAACTCCTCACTCAAGGTATTTATAGCCTATTTGTAGGATGGGGCGAGGGGCAAGTATGTATCTGTGTATTTACAGTGTTGTATAAATAGTTCTCTAGTAGAGATAGGTTCATGCTTCTATGGGGTCACAGAGGCCTTATGGACTAACTCTGCAGGGGATGGGAGTTATATATTCTCTTAAAACAGGACAATGTTACAAGAGTAAGAGGATCTTACTTGTAAATAGGCTTACCTGCTGAAAACAGGTCCCTGCTGTACAGATTTTGGGTAGACAATATAGCTTTTTTAGTCCATCCATCCAAAAGATGTAATTTTTTTTTTTAATGCCAGATACTGGCTTTTTGGTTAAAACCTTGCTTTTTACATTGCCTTACGTATAAATAGTAATCTTGGAGTGGCCTCAGTTCATCATTTGGGCTGCTCATTCTTTCATAGAGGAAAAAGAAATTAGATTGGTTTCCTCAGCCTTCCTTCACCCTGTAATATTTTCATCCCACCGTTTGCCATGTCTCACTCAATAAAAGGTTTCTAATGTCAAATAGGTACTCTGTGCTGAGTGGTGTGTGTTGTTTCCCTTCACTAGGTGTGCTTGAGTAGATTTCAGGGGTCACCGCACGAGAGCCGTGGTCAGCTGTTTGCAAGTTGTTGCGTTTGGAAATAGTTTGGTGCCCTTTGTCTCAGATTTCTTAGGTAGTGTGGTAGTTGGGGAAATTGCTTCAAGCTAGAGGAAAAGGCAATTTTCTGCCCACTCAGAAGTTTCTAAAACCACTTTTCTTACTCCTTTTCCAGCGTCTTCTGTTCACTTTCTCAGTTCAACTTCAGTTTTATTTGAATGAAACTTTGTGACTTTTCCTAAGACGCCCCATACACTGGGGATTAGTTATGAAGACCTTGCGGTTTATTGATTAAATTGCACTGGCCTAGTGAGAGGAGCCCTCAGTCAACCCCCAGCAGCTTCAGCGATTCACAGGAAGTGTCCGATGCACGTCTGAACGTTTCAGATCTGAAACTCCTCTCTTCTCTCTTTGCATTTTTGAACTGGGTGTCTCCTTATGTGTCTAGCTCCAGAGAGAAGTAAATAAAATTCAAAATGGCCAGCTACCTAGGGTCTGTAGCTTTGCTGTGTGAATTGTGATGATGCCTGGAACTTCCATCCTTCCCTTAGACTTTCCCACCCCACTTAGCTGCCAAGAGCCCAGTCCATTCTGTGTTCTGACTTCTGTTCTTCTACTACTCTTAACTGAGGTTTGTATGGAAGCTAGGTATCTGGCTTTAAAAGCTATAGCCTTAACTTCTACTTCCTTAATCCTGTAGTAGGTTCCTTTTATTATTTTATAAGTCTTCTCTTGAGAAGATTTTCTGTTTACCGTAAATTTGGAGGTCAGATCCTCACAAGGATGCTGCCAGCAAAGGCAGAGTAACCTTCAGGGTGACTTATACATTGAAGAAGTCACCAGGGTTTGAACTTCAGCTTTTTAGTCTCAAATTTTTGTCAACACTGAGAATGGGTCCATTTCAGGGATGAATTCACATTGTCCAAACTCATAATATATATAAAGTAATGTGTAAATCTAGAATACTGATATGTATGTGATCTTACCAAGTTCTTCTAGAAAATAAGCTCCACAGAAGGCAGACTTCTATGCTGTTTGATGCTAGTTCAGTGCCCAGTATGTAGGTGCTCAACAAATATTTGAATACCTGATATAACTCCTGTCTGTCTTCTCTCTGTAAATAAAATACCACCTAGGGCTTCCCTGGTGGCGCAGTGGTTAAGAATCCGCCTGCCAGTGCAGGAGACACAGGTTCGAGCCCTGGTCTGGGAAGATCCCACATGCCACGGAGCAACTAAGCCCATGCACCACAACTACTGAGCCTGAGCTCTGGAGCCCGCGAGCCACAACTACTGAGCCCGTGTGCCAAAACTACTGAAGCCCGCACCTAAAGCCCATGCTCTGCAACAAGAGAAGCCACCACAATGAGAAGCCCGTGCACCACAACGAAGACTAGCCCCTGCTCGCCACAACTAGAGAAAGCCTGCTCACAGCAACGAAGACACAACGAAGACCCAACGCAGCCAAAAATATAAATAAATAAAATACCACCTACCTCATTGATTGTTTTGAGAATTTTGACAACTAACGTTTATAAGCACTTAGCATGGTATTTTCCACAAAGAAAGCATTCAGTAAATTTCTCATCAAAGATTAGATATCTAGGGCTTCCCTGGTGGCACAGTGGTTGAGAGTCCGCCTTCGACGTGGGGGACACGGGTTCGTGCCCCGGTCCGGGAGGATCCCACATGCCGCAGAGCAGCTAGGCCCGTGAGCCATGGCCGCTGAGCCTGCTCGTTCGGGGTATGTGCTCCACAACGGGAGAGGCCCCAACAGTGAGAGGTCCGCGTACCGCAAAAAAAAAAAAAAAAAAAAAGATACCAAGGTTTTTTTGTTCTTGTTTTTTTGCTTAATATACTTGAAACAACAATTGCCATTGCTACAAATACTTGTTTTACCCCTTATCCATTTAGGGGGAACTAGTTTGAAATATAAAAATGTCTATTGAATGCTCACCGTGTGCAAAGCGCTCTGCTAGAAGCTGTGTGTGTTGCAAACACAATGTTCCTGCCATATAGAAACTTTTAATCCAGTGAAGGAAATAGACTTACAAAATGACTGTATAAGAAAGGCACAGCACAGGGCTAGGGGCATCAGTGAAATGCCTGTTTGCTAACTCACTGGTACTTTACAATGAACAGGGCAGCAGTAGGAGATGAATTCCTGAATCATAAAGGGTTTAAAAGTTGGTGTAATTTTTTGAAGCTTATGATTAATATAAATTTTCGGGCTTCCCTGGTGGCGCAGTGGTTGAGAGTCCGCCTGCCGATGCAGGGGACACGGGTTCGTGCCCCGGTCCGGGAGGATCCCACATGCCGGGGAGCGGCTGGGCC